TGGTAGGTTCCTATAACAAATTTTTTGCAACAATAATAACAGATGTTCTTATCACAAATTCTTTATTAAATTTAGTATATGGCTTATTAAAACGAAATGAGATCCAAACAAAACTTCAGGCCTTGTGCAATTATTAACTGTATATATACTAATGTTAAATACCATGTGATTACAGAAGTTGCATTTAAAAAATATGCCAAAAAGCAAATATTAGAAATATATCCCTATATTAGTGTTGGAAAGCAACTTTGTCATCCTCATTACTGTAAAATTGTAGAAAGTGATAGAAATATACTGAAAAAAATAAAAATTCAAAAAAAAAAATATATTAGAATCGATAGAATCTCAACCAAATAATGATATAAGTATGTGTTTTATGCTTTGGTGTTTTTATTATGTTTACTATTATTATTATTATTATTATTATTATTATTATTATTATTATTATTAAATTTTAATTAATCTTGATTTAGATTTCATATTTGCTTTAAATGTTGATACATTAACCAAAGTATTATATCACCAACAGCGTCGAGAAAATGCTGAGATAGAACTTGATCCAGAAAAATTCGAGTATATGATAGAGAATGCTAATACTCAACTTGAGGGTTTTTTAGCAGTATGATAAATGTGATTATCCCCAAAGAATGTTCAGCTTATAGCATTAATGAAGCCAAAAAGTTAATCGTTAGTCTATGTTATATGATCGCAGGTTTGTATAACAAGTTTGTTAATAGATATAAGTTAGATGTGGGATTGTACTTAATGGTATCAGGTGCCACATAAAAGCTGTTGACACAATGGTGAGTCTCAGTTACTCTGCATGTGCTAAAACAGTGGATGAATTTTGCAAAAAATTCAAGTTGAATGTGCAATAAAAATTGAACAGCATTTTATAAATCATGTATGTTAAATAAATCAAGTAATTTAAATAAACAGGTTCGAATATTAATGATCGAATATTATTTTTTTATTTTTGTTAGAAAAATTTATTTCATGTCTATAACGTAGATGATTATTATTCGATTCACAAAAATTGAAGACCCAATACAGTGTCAACCTTGGTGTGAAAAATTTTGCAACTTTTGTTGCAAAACTGATTAAGGAATGTTTATCTGTGCTGCTTAATTTTAATAACATATTAATTCATAATCCAGCAAATGTTGAAGCTTATAGAATTTGCTGGTATTTACTTCATAAATATAAGGGAATGTTCGATTTATCATATTTTAACTATCAAATTTTATGAGGGCGTTTAATTTTTGAAGAATTCGATCAAATTGAGGCTTTGATGGTACATAGTTATGCTGATAATTTAGCTGAACTAAGGGAGGAGAGATCGATGAATGGTTTTAAACTAGCAAGATTTAAAGAGCAAAGTTTACACTCAGTGCAAGATTATGTTAATATCATAAAGGTTCTTTTATTATTAAATGATAAAACAGAGCATTTAAATGAAATTGTTGTACCAGTTGTTGTTGACTGGCCTAGGCAAATATTTATTTGAAAAGTATTGCACATGCGAATGGTCCTGGGTTTGCAGCATGAATTTTTGCAAAAGCTTGAGTCATTTATTTCAATAATGGGTTCCCTCCACCTATAATTAAATAGTAGAGAGCAGGTTGTATTAGTTCACCATTCTTTTTTTAAGAACCTGTTTCATTTTGTGTTCGGCAAAAAAAAAAAGTTTGCAAAAAAACCCCAGCCTTGGGGATAAATCTTATAATGGAACTTTCATGATGTGATTGGCTTAAAATTAGAGATGATATCATGAAAAAATTTGGTTCAACCTGCAAAAATATTGAATATTAAACAACAATTGACTTGCTTGATAATTTAATTCCCACTACCCTTGATGTGTATGCTATCTTGTTTCAGTCAGGCCAGTTTGATGAATACATGGAATCTGTTTTTCAGATCTGGATATTTTTTTTATATTGGAAAAGAAAAAACTACAACAAGGCACCTCTTGTATTTCTATTAGACTTATTTTATTAGATGGATATAGATCACCTTTTTTTGAAAGTATTACAAAAACATTTGCCAAGTTTCAATAAGTATTACGTCGAAAATACACATAGCAAAATAGAGCAAATACATCACCGAATGCAACTGTCGATAATATTATCAAACAAGCCTACATTGTAATGAATCATGATCTCAATCTTAAGGATACATACTGTAAAGCTCGACACTACCTATATAATGTTAAAATGCTTGATTTTTTATCTAATAAGACCAGTCGTTTTTTATTGCAATACTTTCAAAACATTTTTTATAATTGTGAAAAAAGTTTTCCAAAACTTTATACTACCAAGAACACCAGTATTGAAGACACCACCATCGAGACTACTAGGAGCACAACTACTATAGGCATCACCACTGAACACACCACCAAACATACCACCAAGCACACTACCAAGAGCACCACTAAGAGTGGCACCAAGAGTGGCACCAAGAGCGGCACCAAAAGCACTACCAAAAGCACCACCAAAAGCACCACCGGGCGCATCACCAAAGAACACTGCTACTACAAAAAAAAAAACTACCCCAAATATACAAACTGGCAGCTCTAGATGAAGAGGTGGACTTGCGATGTTTACTGACGGCATACAGTACATTATATCCTCCACATCCCAAATTATACAATCTTTGTAAACTTCTGTTTATCAATGATAATGGTGTAGTGTTTGTTTGTGGTTATGGCTATCATATAATTTGCTACAATGGGAGGTGAAGTTACTGTGAAGAGTTTTATAGAAGATGAATTGTCAAAAATATCAATTCATTTTTAAAATGAATTGAAAAGGGAGTGAATTCACTTATACAAGAAGATTTTAATAATAACGAAAATGTAGAAGAAATATCTGACGTTATGTCTAAGCTAGCTGAATAAATAGAGCAAATAAAGTATTGGTAAAGATACATATAAATTGCTAATAAACTTTTAATTTTGCTGCTGAAACCTTTTTCGAATCAGTACTATTAAAAAAATAATAATAATAATTAATTATGCATATATATTAATATTAATTATAAAAACTTGTGCCTTATAAAAATCTTTAACATTAGAGATCTTTAAAGATCTCTTTTCACAAATCGAATGCAAGACACCTAAAAAATGAACTAATCAATCTTTAAAAATTTGGATGTTGTTTTTTATGTGTTACTATATGACGTATATACTTTTCTATATTGCTAATAATAATTTTGACAAATAAAATCTTGTATAATGTAGATGAATAAATCGAACTTCTATTATGCTGATAAATCTATTTACCTAGAAGATTTAAACTTAAACAACACTCTAATGCATAACCTAATTATTGCTAGCTTTTGCAAACTATACAAGCTAAGTATATAGTAAACACTATAAAAGACACTTTTGCTATAGTATTATTTTTAATATCATTAGTCTTTATAATTTATATACTTTATTACTTTCCCAACAACTCTATTTTTTCTCATTTTCTGTATTTGATTATAAATCTTCTTTTCCAGACTCTAATCTAGAAGACATTCACAAGATAAAACTGACAATCTAAAGCTAGAAACAATAACTCAAATAACTAAACAATTTGGTACTATTGATTTACTTATATATTAATAACAAATTTATTTTTTATTACAAACTACTTCTACTTGAATATCTACAAATATTTTAATCTTTTTTTAATTATATATTACTATAATTTTCTCTTATACTTATTCTACTATATTAAAATCTTTATCCTTAGTACTAAAAACAAAAATAATAAATATATAAAAGCATATATGGAGAGTTTGCAATAAAAAGAACCAAAACTCAGAAATATATAAATTTGAAATAATTATGTTTATATTTTTTTGGACTAATTCAAATTCATTAAAAATTTTGTAATATTATTGGTTAGTTATATTAGATAAATAAACAATATCTACTTGCAAATTACTTTATATTTTCTTTTCTAAACTTTTTACACTAGTTTAAATATGTCTCTCTTAAAATATACTAATACTTAACTTTATCTAGTCCTTTTAATCTTTCTATATGCACTCATAATATTCATAGTTTTAACCAAAATCTCAAACCAAGTCTAGAAACACTACTGTTTATCTAATAATCTAGATATAATTTGCTAAACTGAAACTAAATTAGCTAGCAATCTTATTTCTAAATCTCTCAAAATCTAATATTATGCTTATTTTTGATTATATACTAATAGCTCTAAAGCTAGAACTGCTATTATATTTTGTAACTTCCTAACTCTCTATATCTATAAAACAATAATCTTTATTTTTGGCTATGCTTTTTTAATAAATTTGTTTTTTAAATATAACTTCAAATTCTATATTATTTCAATCTATCCAAAACACTATTATTTAATAGTTACAAGAAGCTACATATTTAATTTACTCCTTATTATAGTTGGAGACTTAAATATCTCTGCTAATAATATCTACTTATTTTCTATTAAATACAAACCTCTTCAATACTTATATACAACAATATAAATAACCTTGCCTTATACTCCAACTTATTTTTCTCTACTTGGCATAGCTTTAGATATAATAGTAAAATTAACTTTATTTGGGCTTACTATACTTCTTTAATCTATTTTACCTTTTTTTGTACTAATAACACTAAAAGCAGCTCTATTAGTAATTACAAAATTCTTATCTCTTGCTAGTTTTTTCTCTATATACAATATAGCTAATGCAGATATAAAACATGTATATATAAAAGAGTCTTTAATTACAAAACTATAAATAATATTAAATAGAGAGAAATTTTCAATCTAGTCAATTCTAATCTATCTTTTAACTCTACTTTTTCTTCTATTTACACTTTAGAATCTTTTGAAACAACTAAGTACAAAATCTATATAAGCATTATCACAGTAGCTTTATTACATATCTCTAACAAAAAATATACTATTTATAACTTTTAATATATTTTTTTTTTAAAGTAACACATTTATACGTATTCAAATCTCAAAAAACTTAGCAATGCTATATAATATATAAAGTTTGCTTTAAAATACTCTTTCTCTATCTCTTCTCACCTGAATTTTCTTTTAATATGATTAACTATTCTGCTAGTTTGAACATTCTTTTAATTTTATTTATATACCAACTTCTTAACTTCTGAATTACTAATACTAACTTAATATGGAAAAATCTTTTTTATATTTAAAAATTAAAAAATATTAAAGAAATCAAACAATAAATTACTAATACTATTAACAAAAGATTTTTTAAACTACAGATCCAATCTATTTTAATAATAAATAATATTCTAAATTATTATAAAGACTGTTAAATTCAATAATATTTAACTTGATAACAATATTATTACCAACTTCTTTATTATTAAAACCTATATTTTACAACACTTTAACAATTAGATAGCTTCTTAATACATCAACTCTAACATATTTAACTCCTAATAGAAAACTAAATATAATCTCAAATCTAATATTAACTTTTACTAGTATTCTAACACTTTTTTGAACTTTACTAAAAAAGAGATCCTATTAACTATTAACTAACTTTCAAATAATAAAATATGTAGCTTCTCTAATATTAGCTATAAAATGCTATAATATATAGACCTAACTTTATTACTACTATTACATATCTTTTTAACTATTATCTTTTTTTCTAAACTATACCTAAACAATAGAAAAAAAAACTATATTTTTTTATTTTCAAAAAACTTATTTTTGATAGCACCTTTCTAACACCAGACTATTAGTCTTGTAGAACCTATTAGAAAGCTATATACTAATCTTCTAACTAATTACCTTAACCTTGCTCTATCTCAATATAATAATTTATTGCTATTTAACTTTATTATACTTTTTGGCAACTCCACCTTTATTTCTATTTATATTCTCAACAATATCATTAAAAACTCTAACTATAACTTTAAACAACTCTGGTTTCTTTCTCAGAATAAAAGCAAAGCTTATAATTTAGTTAATTTTAAACTTTTCTAAAAATTACTATAATGCATATGAATGCCTACAGCTTATTTACATTCTTACTAACCTTTTATTTAACTAAACTAACTAGATTATTACTAATCTTGGGCTTACTAATTTTACTTTGTTAGAAATAGTATTAACCAAAAAAAAACAATTATTTTCTTTTCTGAAAAATTTGCTATAGCCCACCTATCTTACATATTTTTTTACACTTTTCTGATTATATACTCTCTATCTTTTAGCAAACTAGCTTTATATTTACTTCTTCTAATTATCTTAATACTTCTGTTTTT